AAACAGAAGCAGCAAGCCCATGGTTCTGTGTTCATCAGCCTTTTAGGGGGAACACCTCACTCCAGGTAACTGGAATTGTAGGCACTTTCAAAGAGATATTAGGCAAAATCAAAGAGAGGCATGAACTATCTGTATCTGAGCCCCATGTTTACCCGTTGCATTGTTTGCTAGCTGGTTTTGCAACAAACCGTAAAAATATAAAGCAATCTTGCTCTGAACCCTGGTTGTCATTCTCTGATGGTTTGTTGTGTTTTCTAATTTCCATGTGACACATACTCCCATCCTGGCTGATTCCAGGCTACTTGTCTGATGTCACTCCAACAGTCAGGAAGGGACGCACACAACTGACCCTGGTGCATCAGTAAGAGCAGGCGCCAGATCACCACGATGGTTTCTGCCTTGGGAGGCCCTGTGCAGAGAATCCACCTGTGCTGTTCCAGGGCTTCTGGCCTACAGAAGTCTCAGTTCATACTTGAGTTTTGTTTCAAGCTTCTAAGTGTGTGGTAATTTGTTATGCAGTCATAGAAAACTAAGAAGAGCTTATGGTACTTTTTACAGATGTGAAAACTAAGGCTTTGAACCAGTAAGCAATTTGTCCAAGGCCATGAGCATCTAACAATGAGCTCAGAGGCAAAATAGGATGTGTCTGACTTTAAAGTCTGTAACCTTATCTCCTGTGTTCTGTGACTTCCCATAGAAAACATGTCATGTAAACCATGAGGGCCAGAGTCATGGGCGCTCTATTTCTTTGTTTACTTTTATTTTTTTAGGGACCAGAAAAATGTGCATTATTATTATAAATGAAATTCTGAGCCAGAATAAAATCAAATATTGAGTGTGGCTTTGGACTTGAAGTGGTGCCCCACCAGTTACCTTGGTATTTATTTTAAAGGACAATGCTTTAGAGTAAAAGAAATCTCACATGGGACTCTCCTCATTAAATATCTGAGTTTGGCCAGAGTGTCCATTTCTGCTTTTCTCCTCTAGCGTGACCAGATGTGCTCAGAAAATTTGGTTCCCTCTGAATATGTACATCTGTCAAAATTCCTGTCATTTTTAGCAGGACTGCCAAGGGAGCAAACAAAGAGAGTTGGCGATTAACTTCAAAGAACTTTGTTGGAGAGGAATAACGATATTTAAAGGCCTATTTTGTGAACTAATTGCATTTGCATATTTATGGGGTTTACTGATATAGCAGTAATTAAAAACTATTTAGTAGTCTTAAAGGACACATAACTCAGTTGCTGTTTGCATAATAAACACTTCCTTATTATATTTGCATAATAAACCCTCTTCCCCCTGCTTCCTCCAAAAGATACTGGTCCATCTAAGGGGTGTTATATCTTATTTGGAAATAATGGAGAAACAAGTGTTCGGACTCATGGGAACGTGGAGCGGAGAGTTCAAAAAGGAGCGTATTTCTACGTTCTCTCTTAATGATAGGCCTGTCCTGAACTGCTGTCTGAGAATGGCAGATTCAAACCTCAAATTAATGTCTTTCTTTCTCCCAGGTGATATTTAAGAAACTTGAATGCTTATCCCCTGATAATTCTGATTTTTTATTTAAACACTAATCTGCCTGAAGGGCCTGAAGGGAACTCCCCCACCCCCAATATTCATCCTTTTTAAGGAGATATGTAAGTGGGGTGAAATCCTTAACTAATGGATTATAAGAAACAATGTGAGTAAAAAGTGCTGTATTTAAGAAGTGAGGAGCAGCCTTTTTTTTTTTTTTTTTGAAAAATTACTTGAGCAAAATTATTTGAGCAAAGGTGAGGTAGCAAATTGAAAGATAGCAAGTAAACAAACTAAATGCAGACAGGACAGTAAAGTTGGAAAAAGGAAGGTCTAAGCTGCCTGGGTGTGCAGAGCAGGGTGGTCAAGGAACAACTGCTTTGAAGAGAAGTCACTCACACAAAACATTTCCCATCTTGGCAGAATTCATCAGCCAATAAAGAGCCATAATGGACAGGATCACCAGACTGTTGTTAAATTAGCTAATGAAGGTCATAATGTACCTGTATTACACATCATTAGCAAAGACCTTCCAGTAACAGATGCGTATACCGGAAAATGAGAAGAAAAGGGAGGGGCAGCTGGCCCCGGAAGGTGTACTTGGAGTCATCGCTTACTACTGTAAAGTGTGTGGCAAAATAAATGTTGATCATCATCTCAATTAGACCTTTGCATAAAAGGCAAACTTCTGTGTTCCTTTCCTATAAAAAGTGCTACCTGCATTGATATGCTGCCTGCGGCTTGCCTTCCTCTTGTCCAAATTCATCTCATAGGTAGAAGATGACAATTCGGAGAACTGATGGGAAGTGCTGGGACTCTGATGGCCAGCGCAATCCGTGGTGATCTTACCCTCAATGAAGCCTCATTTTTCTGGTCACCAGATAAATAAATCTGTAGATAAATACCTCTGAAGAATATCTTTTCAATAACCTTTTTATAACTTTGTATCAAAATTCCTCTACCAGTAACATTTCATTTTTTTTCCTTCAAAAGTATTTTCAAATGTACAGCAAAATTGGAAGAATAGAAGAGCTCCTCCCTCCACCCTCCACCAACCATTTAAAAGATGGCAACATGATGTCTTTTTACCTGCGAGTACTTAGTGTTTTATTCTTACAAACAAAAATATTCCTTTATATAATCTCAATATAATCAAATCAGAACATCAACAACACTACATTACCTCTATCTCATCCACAGACTCCACTTGAGTTTCACCGATTCTCCCCAAAATGTTCTTTATAATGAATCACACATTTCATTGACTTGTCATGTATCTTTAATCTGCTTTTGTTTGAAGCAGTTTCTTTTTCTTTCTTTCTTTCTTTTTTTAATCCTCACCCAACGACATTTCTTTATTAATTTTTAGAAAGAGAGGAAGGAAGAGAGAGAAACATTGATGCAAGAGAGAAGCACTGCTCGGTTAGTTACCTTTTGTAAGCTACCCACAACCCAGGCATGCCCCCTGACCAGGAATTGAACTCACAACCTTTTGGTCACGGGACAATACCCCAACCAACTGAACCACACAAGCCAGGGCTGATGTAGTTTCTTAATCTTTCCTTGAATTTCATAACTTTGACTCTTTTGAAGATTACATACCTGCTATTTTATAGAATGTCCTACAATATGGGGTTGTCTGGTGTTTCCTTTTGGGTAGATTCAAGTAGTACATTTCTGGCAGGATAACAGAAGTAATGCTGTGTCTTCTCCTATCTCAGGGCACACAGTTCCCACAATTGGTGATGTTAATTTTCATCACTTGATTAAGGTACCGTCTGCCAGATTTCTACATTGAAAGTTTTTTTCAATCTTTGTAATTAAATTACTATCTTGTGTAAATGTTCTGTTCCTTATCAAACTTTCACCGACTAGCTTTTATCGCCTGTTGATGTGTCTTGAGTGAATTATTACTATGAAGATTCCATCAGTCGTTCTACACTTATTAGTTGGCATTCCACCACCATTATTGATTTTGTTGCTCCAATTGTTGCAGATTTGGCAATTGGGAACCCCTTCATTCTGGCTCCTATATCCTTTTATCATGTCCCCATCATTCCTTTAGCATTTCTTTATAATACGACAAGACGTTCTAGGCTCTTATACCATCTTCGTCTCCTCCCTGGCATCTGTCATTTCCTCATTTCTTCCTTTTAGGTGATGCAGTATTTAGAAACTAAGACCTGGGTACTAGATATACTCATTGCTATTTGGGTGTCCCTGCTCCCAGGCCCTCTAGTAAACAAAGCTAGGGATATGGCTGTGTATGATCATATGTACACACACATTTACATTTGTATTTATTTCTATATTGAGGTACATATGTTGAAAACCCTGAGTTCACACTGATATCCCCCAAACCAACTCAATACCACAGGGGTCATCTTCATTTTCTTTTTTTCTACCTTTGTAACTCTCTTCACCAAGAGTAGGAAACCAATCCCGCTACATCTTGTTGGTAGATAAAAATTAGGAAAAGAACTTCATGGATTCTAAACAAAGGGACTGAATAATTAGGAGAACAGGAATTGGGTATATAGTTTCCTCCTCTCAGTTTACTTTGTGAAAACTTATCTCACAATTGTGCCTCCACAATCCCATTTATAGTAAAAAGAAGGCAGCTATTGGAAATGGTATGAAATGTAGTTTTTGTTTCTAGAGCATCTAGGAGTCTACCAATGGAAGATAGAGTTATTATATAAAATCATGCATTTTTTTAAAATAATGAAGAGTGAATGGGCACTGAATCAAAAAGTGAAAAAAATTATTGAATGCTGTTAAACATTAGCAGTTCTCATGTTCAATAATTGTGGAGAATCCTCTCCTACGTAGTTACTGTCTGAACTGTAGGCAATAAAAATTTAAAAAGCACTCCTGTTTATCAAAAATCAATGTTTCTTTTCATTAAAGGGGCTTATAAAAAACAAAAAGCACTTTTACCACTGTGTTCTTAGCAGTTGTTCTTTGTCAGGCAATACCAGGTTTCCATTTGCTTTGTGTAATTCAAGTCCAATAACCATTGTGAAATGCTACTGCATGTGAAGATGTTACTGCATATTTAGAACAGCTATTTGGATCTCAATTATTAATGAAATTAGTGTCCTGAATGTTAGCAAGAGCATTGCCTTAGGTAAAGGCTGTAAAGGAAATCATATTAGTATGGAATTTCCTCTCCTTAAGGGCGCCTCTTAGATTACATTATTTACTTAGATATCCCCTATCAGGAAAATTGAAATGTTGGCCATGATCTGACCCTGGGGCAGAACCAAATGCAGAAATCAAGGGACCAAGATACTACCAATTCCAAACCATTTCTGTAGTGTTGGTATTGCCTTAGGTTTCCATTTAGTGCTCATAAAATAGCACCAACAAGGACAGCATAAACTGGCAAACACAGAAGAACCAAGTGAAGACGAGCCCTTTTAGGAAAAAATTGAGTGGCATTCCATCTAAAAAGCAAGTTTGCATCTCTCCTCTTTGTCCAGAAACGTTGGCAAGTGTGATGGCTCCTCTGTGGCCCTTCATCCTGGTGGCGGCCTCAGGTGAGTTCTCTGAATGATTAGAAACTATACGCAATGTTTCTCTACATTGTGCTTTATAACTTCTCACGAGTGTTCATGTTTATTTTTCTGTAAAATGCCAGTCCTGTGAAGCTACAAGGAGACCACTGATTTGTTATGACTTCGCTCTTACAATTACAGATACATATATATACAGGGTTACACAGTGAGGCTTTTTACACATAGCTGAAAATAGCCTCTGAATTATTCTCATTGTTTGATAAATCTCTGCATCTCTAGGAATCACTCTCTTTGCTGTGATTTACGTTGAGAGCATGAGCAATGACCATTCCTTTTCAGGTTTGCTTTTGTGTCTGAATTGTATATTTTTATTATCAAAAAAATAGTCTTGGCTTCATCATGAACTTTTAGTAATCCAGAGAAAAAGTCCCTTGGATGCATCACGGCTAGAGATACCTGAATACTATTTTGGTATTAGGGGCTTTACATCAAGCCACAAAGTCTGTTTAGGTAAATATGTCTCTAAGGGTGAGTACTGTCAACCTGCATGTTTTGAGTGTACAATTCCTCTTTAAAATATTTTAGAAGCTAATATATTTTTCCTAAATTTTTAAACTTCCATGTTGCCAGTGCTAACTCTACTAAATTGAACCATTTGAGTTAAGATACAATTGATTCTTATAAAACATGCACAGATCAAGAATTTATCTTTATGCTGGTATTTCCCAACATCCCCTTTCTTGAGGGTTCTCCTTAGGTTCTCTAGGGAGCCCATATCTGAATGCCCATGTTTTAAAATATAACTGGAAGTGGCATGAGTCAATTATGGAGATGAGGAAGGAATTCAATAGTCAAGAAACTTAAAATGATTTTTTTACTGAGTGGAGAAAAGAATAGTTACTTATTATTAAAATATAAAAATCTTGAGTATTGAATGTAAAAGGTAAAAGCTTATCTTAATTATAAAAATGAAAACAGAGGAAATTTCATTAAATGGCAAATGGTTTTCTTAGCCAAAAATAATTATGAACATTAAACTAAAATAAAATAGATAAATGAAGGTAAGAAAACAGAAGAAATTCTTCTTAGCAATGTCTCTTTCTAATGTTTTGTATTATGCTTGATGTTTATTCTTAATATGGCAGAAAAAGGTGTTTTAACAGTGTCTAGTAATCTGTGCTTGACCATAAATCATACTGAGTACATTTGTTGAAGAAAAATTGACCCTTTGGAATTTTACCTGGGTTAATATCAAAATGATATTAAGATCACAGAACTGATGACCAATTCACGGCTACTCTCGGGAGACAGTGTGCTGAGGTAGAAGGCCTGGATTAAAGGGACTATTTAGTTCCTGCTCCACTACTTCCAGCCAGGTGACCCTGGGCAAGTCAAGTAATCTCTTAGAGATTCAGTTTCCCTGTAAGTTAACTATTTATTCTGTACATTCATGAAGATCAAATAAGATAGCATGGTGAAATTGAAAGATGCAATGCAAACATAATACACATGTATTATTGACCTGAAAACACACATACACAGAAAATAACAATGGGCTACTTCTGACCAGTAATGTACAGCATGCAATGTGTCTATCTTTCTTTGGAAAGGTTACTCGTTGCTGTTCCTAATATTTTCAGGGAGCCAGGTCACAGATCAGTCATATTTAAATTCCAGCTGCTTTACTTACAAGCTGTATGCCTTAGGTGGTACTAACTTCATTTAGTCTATAGTCCTTCACCTGTAATAGTAGTGACTCATAGGACTGTAGAGTATCTCACAGGCCGTTGTAAAAGTTAAATGAGTTAATTCACGTAAAGGGCTTTTAGTCTGTTGCCTGACATAACAGCAGGCAAGTTTTCAATCAGTAGTACCACATGTGTAAACCTCTATTTCCTTGTAACTTCTTAGATGTATGTATAACTCTCATAATCCTAAAAATAGTCTACTCACTAAAGCCAGAAAAGCTCTTTTAATCAAAATGTTCAGAACATTTTAAGATGGGTATGCAAAGAGAAACTCAGTCAAATAAGAAAAACAAAGGAATAATTCTATTGCATTCTTACCTTTAAAAAAAAATCTCTCATCACCTAAAAGTGATTAATATCCCAGTTCCTAACACATTTTATTTTCCAGAAATCTTACAAGTGAATTATTTGAAGCTGATTATTAGGAGGCAGTGCTAGTGAGGAATTTTCCCTGGATCTGTCGATAGCTTCCATCAGTGTCTGTAGAAACATCATTTAACTGTGAGTCATTTAGTGCTTGTGTGAATGTCACATTAGCTTTCAAGGGGCATAATTTACTGCTAATTAATGGTCACTTAAATCCTTAATCTCTCTCCTGTAATAGATCTTTCTCCTCAGGCAAATTTGCATTCATAGAAGAAATGTAATTTATTATTTCTTCCCATTTTAAACAAAGAACTCTTTCCCCTTATAGTTTACTTAAGCCCACTTCCTTTTGCTTCTTATTTTTCTCTTACCATTGCTTGCTTCTCTTTTAGTTCTACCTTCCAGAACTTTCTCTTTTTACCCAAAGACCTTGACATGTTCTAGGAAATATGTGTTTATCCATAGGGGACCTATTGATTGTTTCCTAGAAAAGATAGTAGAGAGGAATCTGAACCTTTATGAGCAGAGGGTGTAGGGAACACACGTTCATTTCTCAGAATTATGTTTTAACTCTGTCTGAGGCAGTTTCCGGTATTGAAAAATGCAATTTCAGTATTTCCCCAACTGGGACTTGAATTGGGAGCTTCCACACGAAGCAAAAGTGAAGTTGCCCAAAGCAAAGTTGCAGAAAAAGCATCAGATAAGCTTTGCTTTGTGCTCCTGACTTCCCACCCCTGGGGTATGACAGCAAGAAGTGATTTCAGGTAGAGAGATTCACAGCACATTTTCTGACAATCACAGTTCACAAAACACCCTAAAAATGAAGCCTGATGCAAGCCACCCACCTTAGTCTCACACGCCTGAATAGCTGAAGTCACTTTAGGCATCTTCTCGGGTGAACAGTTAGGAAGTTAATATTCTCATTAAGCTCCCAGTTCCGATGGTAATGAAAGTGAATATTCCACTGCCCACAATGCGTCTAGAATTGCACCTCCAGCATTGTTGTTAGCATTTTGGTCACAATGACATTGATAAATCATAGAAATTACTGCCTGTGGCACAAGTGACATGACATCATTCATAAAGAAATGGGTATAAACAGGATTGTCGCACAGGGAGAAGATATCTCATTTACAGTTTCCTGCTGGATCCTGCATACCTTCAGCAGCTCATCAAAATAACCATCAAAACCACTGAGAGCCCAGACGAATTCACACGCAGGACACCACAGATAGATTTCACTCACGCACTGTGGCAGGAGGTGTGCAATTTGCTTCAGTCCAATGACTTAGCAAAGCTTTGAATTCCCAAAGGGCTGGCAAAGCTGGTGAACAAAATATCTTTTTGCAATTCAGAATAAACCCTCACAAATTTGTCACTTCCAATTGTTGATGCTCAATTCTCTTGCTTCTTGTTCCCTGGCCACCCTGCCCCCACCCTCCAACACCAATCATTGCTCCTCTACAAATCAAGATTCTTGGATCATAGAAAATAGTTGTTTCCTGGAACCAAAGAGGGTTTTCCCAAAATGAAGATCTCATTTTCTGACAAGTGCTTTTTTTTTAAGACAGACCGAGTGAGAAAATTGATTTCTTTTTCTTTTGAGGAGAAAAGTAAGAATCGGAATCTCATTAATCCCATTATTTAGAAATCCACACAAAACTTCGCTTTCATTGGTTTGCCCATGTTTTTGCCTGGGTTTTCTATTTAACTGTTGAATTACAAATGGCAAATCAAAAGAAAAATGCGAGGGGAAAGTTAAGTTTTGGCTAAGTGGATGGGAAGTTTTCTCCATGTACCATAAGAAGGTGATACAAAAACAAAGAAAGGATTCTGTCTTCAAGATGCATGGTTGCTGCAAAAAATGAAATTGTAGGTGTATTTTGGCATCTTTGGAGATGGAGTTGATTTATTTATCTTTGCAATGAGATTGCTCTCTTGGGCACTTGGGCCATCGGCTTACTTACATCAGTTATTTAAAACTATCAAACAACCTACCAGCTAGCTGTGAACTGAACCAGATAGGAGTGAACCACTGAGTTTGGAATAGTCTGAAATCTCCTAAAGATGCTAAATTCCTCTTATTTTCATCTTCACAATGATAGTTTCCTCTTCCAGAAATCGTAGCCCTAGATACACCTTATCCCAGGAATTCTGCTCTGTATCATCTCACCAAGCAGCTATTACAGAAATATCATAAGGAAGTGAGACCAGTTCACGACTGGACAGAGGCCACCACTGTTCACCTGGACGTATCTCTCCGTGCTGTACTGGATGTGGTAAGAATCATCTTACCCTTTTGTAACATTATCTGCTGTTACACAGGAGCTTAGGAGTCGTTTTCTTCTTGAGACTCTAGTTGAGATGGTAGAGGAGTTGTGTTAGGCTCATTTTAGCAGTGAGCTGGGGGTAGAATGTTTATTAGGCAAATCATGCTTTCTATATTGTGAGGAGCAGATAGTGTAGTAATATGAATTTCACAGAATTAAAATGTTTCAAGAATTCTGGTCATAGATTTTCTGCATATTTTGTGAGTATTGCTAAAACAAAAAAAAATGGTAATAGTCCCTATGGTATCACATTTCTTAGTGATAGTAGATTTAAGAAAACATCTGCCACTTATTGCCTTATTGAAAATGTAAAAAGAGAAAAAAGTGCCATGATATTGAGTTTATAAAGGGCCTTATACCTAAGGTGTTTGCTAAAGATGGTAAAGGGGAACATTTATTTACCAAAACATGTTTTTCCTACTATACCTGAAAAATAGGTTGTTGTGGAAATTAAAAGAGAAAATTTCATGTGAAGCAGTTAGCAGAGGTCTTAGTAAGCCCTCAGTAAGTAATGACCCTGATGACTGTCCCTGCTTCCTCATTCTCCTTTTTCTTAATTATGAGGTCTTCAGTACCAATAGGTCCCAGATTTATTTTGATTTCTCTTATTTTAATTTATTTTTCAATACAGTTGACACACAATATTCTACCAGTTTCAAGTGTAAAATATAGTGATTAGACATTTGTGTACCTTATGAAGTGTACCCCCGTCATAAGTCTAGTATCCATCTGGCACCATACATTGATTTCTCTTACAAGCAGACTTGACTGAGCTTGTTTTGTTAGAGTAGTTTAATAATTATTTTTCAATTTACTTCTCAAAACTATCTTTTCTAATTGATGTCGAAGATACCTATACCAAAATGATAGATAAGGTTTAGTAAGTGTGTACACACACATAATCCATCCCTGTCAATATAGCAAACATTTTCATCATCCCAGAAGGGTTCTTCATTTCATTCCCAGTCAATCCCTGTCCCCTCCATCCATAGATAAAACCACCATTCTGATTCCTTTCATTGTAGATTATTTTTGCCATTTCTAGAACATTATATGAATGAAATTTTATTGTATGTCCTCTATGGTGCCTGGATTTTTCATTCAGTGTATTGTTTCTGAGGTTCACTCATGTTGTTGAGTGTGTCTGTAGTTTTTCTTTTTTTTTTTTTTTTTTGATAAGTAGTATTTGGCTATGGCTATACCGTGATTTGTTTATCCATTCTCCTGTTGATTACCATTTGGGTTGTTTCCAGTTTTAGGATATTATTAACAAAGCTGGTATGAATATTCCTGTCCAAGTCTTTTGTGTGCATATGCTTTCATTTCTCTTACGTAAAAAGTAGAAGTGGAATAACTGAGAAACTGCCAGACTGATTTACCCAGTGGTTGTAATTTTACACTCCCACCACTCAGCTATGTGAGTTCCCACTGCTCCACATCCTCATCAGTATTTGATATTATCAGACTTGTAACTTTTAGCCATCCTGGTAAGAGTGGAATAGCATATTATTGTGGTTTTACTTTACATTTCCTTGATGGTTAATGATTTGGAACTCTTTTTCACGTGCTTATTGACTACTTACACAGCTTCTTTGTGAAGTAGCGGTTTAAATATTTTCCTTTTTTAAAGATTTGGCTGTTGGTATTTTTATTATTTATAGGACTTGCTCATACACAAGTCTTTTGTTAGATATGTATTGTGAGTCTTTATTCTCAGTCTGTAGCTTGATTACTCATCTCTTAATGGGTCTTATGATGATCAGAAAGTTTTAAATTTAGTGAAATCCATTTTTATCAATTCCTCATTTGTGGTTAGTGCTTTCTGGGTACTAAGAAACCTTTGGTATTCTAAGTTCACAAAAATATTTTCCACTATTTTCTGTCAGAAGATTTACAGTTTTTAGTTCCTTAGATTTAGTTCTATGATCTACTCAGAATTAATTTTTGTGATGATGTGAAGTATGTGTCAAAGTTTTTGTTTTTGTTTTTGTTGGGGGATTGTTTTTTTTGTTTGTTCATTTTTTTGAAAAGCCTTTTCTCTCCCCATTAAATTGCTTTGGTGCCTTGACTGAAAATTAAATTAACTGATAAGGTTGGTTTATTCCTCTTGAAATCAGGCAGTATAAGTTCTTGGATTTTGTTCTTTTAAAAAAAAATAAAAAGATTTTATTTATTTGTTTGTTTATTTATTTATTTATTTTTAGAGGGAGGGGGAGGGAGGAAGAAAGAGAGGGAGAGAAACATCAATATGTGATTGCCTCTCACATGCTCCTCACTGGGGACCTGGCCCACAACCCAGACATGTGTCCTGACTGGAAATTGAACTGGTGACCCTTTGGTTTGCAGGTCAGCACTCAATCCACTGAGCCACTCCAGCCAGGGCTTGTTCTTCATTTTTTAAGATAGTTGGGTTTTTTATGACCTTAGTATTTCTTAATAAGTTTTTAATCATCTTGTCCATTTCTACTTTTATCTCATTTGTTGTTATTTGTTTATTTTTTTATAAGAGAAAGTTTATTTAGAAAGCCACAGAGAGGTGACCTAGTTGGGCTGCATGGGCTTAAGAAATGAGTTACAGAGGCAAAAAAAAAGGGCTCTTGGAGATTACAAGAAAAAAAGGCAGAGAGAATGACCCTGAGGAAGGAAAAGGGGAAATGTGCAAGCATGAGAGAGAGAGAGAGGAGAGAGCTGCTGCAGCTCCATTTCTATTTGTAAAAAGATCTGCTTGGAGATTGTTTTGAATGGTGTGGGATCTACAGAGATATTTTGGGGGAAATTGACATCTTAACAATATTGAGTTTTCTAATTTTTGAGCATGGTGTGCCTCTCCATTTATTTGGGTCTTCAGTAGTGTTTTGTAATCTAAATGTAGAAGTTTTACACATATTCCCATTAAATTTATCTCAAAGTATTTTAGATGTCACTATAGACATTACTTTAAAATGTTTACTTAAACTTTTTATTTTCTAGTTATTTGTTATAGAGAAATATAATTAATTTTGTATACTGATGTTTTGATCCTGCAGCCTTAGTAAATTCACTTATTCATTCTAGTAGTTTTTGTAGATTAATATTGTCTACATACACAATCATGTCATCTGCAAATAGTTTTATGTCTTTCTTTCCAATCTCTATGCTCTTTATTTTTTCTTTCTTGACTTATTGTATTGCTTAAGATCTGTCCTACAGTGTTAATAGAAATAGTGAGAGCTACTGTCCTTGTTTGTTCTCATTCTTAGGGGAAAATATTTCACCATCAAGTATGATGCTAGCTACAGTGCTTTTTTGTTTTGTTTTTAAGATGGTCTTTATCAGGTTGAGGAAGTTTTCTCTTATTTTTTGCATATTGAGAGTTTATTTTAAATTATGAATGCATATTGAATTACATCAAATTTTTAAAAATCTATTTGGATGATCATATGATTTTTTCTGTTTATGCAGTTGATAGATTAAATTATTTTGATTCATTTTCAAATGATAAACTACCTGTGAATTCTTAGGATAAACTTCACTTGATCTTGATATATTATCCTTTTTATATACTTCTGGGTTTGAATTCCTACTTAATATAGATTACATCTATGTTAATGAGGGGTTTGGGGCTATAGTTTTCATTTCTTGTAACATATGTCTGGTTTTGGTATCAGAGTTATGTTGGCCATATAAAACTAGTTGAATGCACTCCTCTATTTTCTGAAGGAGTTGTGTAATGTGAATACTTTCCTTCCTTAATTTCTGATAGAATTCACCAGTAAAGCCATCTGAGACTGGAGTTTCCTTTTTTGGAAGTTTTTCAAATATAAACTCAATTTAATTAACATATAGGGATGTTCAAATTTTCTATTTCTTCTTGTTTCAGCTTTGATATTTTGTATCTTTCAAGGGATTTGTATATTTCATCCAAGTGATCAAATTTATTTGTTTATAGTATTGCTTTTTAAATATTTTTAGTGTCCATAGGATCTCTAATGATATTGTCTTTTACATTTCTAATATTAATAGTCTGTGTATTCTCTTATTTTTCCCTTGGCCAATATTGCCAAGGTTTATCAATTTTTCTTTAGTTTTTTTCAGAATATCGAATACTGGTTTTTGAATTTTCTTTGTTGTTTGTTCTTTTATTTCATTGATATCTGCTCATATTTTATTTTTTCTTTTCTTACTTTGCATTTAATTTTTCTTATTTTTTAGAGTAGAAACTTACATTATTGATTTTAATCTTTTTCTTTTCTAATTATAGCATATAAAGTTGTAAATTTCTCTTTAAGCACTGCTTTTGCTGCATCTTACAAAAATTTAAGATATTTTTTAAATTACACAGAATGAAATTCTTTCTTTCTTAAGCAAATTTCTTCCTTCTATCCTCAGTGTCTGGAAGCCACTGAGCTCATTTTTCTTACTATAATTTTGACTTACAAGAATGCTGCATAAAGGAAATCATATAGTATTTTCCCCCTTAGTCTTTGGCCTCTTTCACTTAGCATAATGCTGTTGAAATTCATCCATACCGTGTTGTTGCACATGTCAATGGTGGTGTTCCACTATACCAATGTACTGCAATTTGTTTATCTATTTAACAGTTGCTAGATATGGAGGTTGTTTCACTTTGTGTCTGTTATGAATATAGCCACTATAAACATTTGCATATGTTTTCACTTCTCTAGGATAAATACATAGGAGTGGGATTGCTGAGTTGCATGTTTAACTTTATAAAGGACTACAAACGGCTTTCCAAAGTGACTTTACCAAAGTGACCTCAAAGTGAAGTTTGAATTCCACATGCAATGTATTCAAGTTTCAGTTCCTCCACATGATCACCAGCATTTGATATGGTCAATCTTTTAAAATTATAACCATTCTAGGAGATTTGTAGTGATGGCTCACTGTGGTTTTTAACTTCTATTTTACTACAGACTGATGATACTGAACATCTTTTTGTGAGCTAATTT